CATCCTATTTCATTTCTAGACGTGTTACATGTGTTGAGTTATTATTCGTTTAATAAACGAGTTTGTATTCAAATTTGAAATTCCTTACTAATTTAATAACCGATTCGTATTCGGATTAAACGTTTAATGGTACTACTGACTCATCTAAAGGGTCACTTGAGCAACAAAGAGCACTTATTCAGGGAGGCAGATTGTCTACCCTCCTGTTTGGGTGCCCTTCTTATCCTCTTCTATTTTGTGCGGTCACGGTTAAGCCACGTCAATATTATATATATATATATATATATATATTTTTTTTATAGAGATGATAAGACAAAAAAACAATAAGAATATAAAATGTTGACGTGACTTAACCATGGCTGTACAAATAGGAGGAGATGGGAAAGACACCCAAACAAGAGGGCAGACAATCTGCCTCCCTTATTCAATTGAATGTGTTGGCTGAATTTATATTGGGTGTGTGGATATGATATGCATGTGTGACGCAGTGGGATGTGTGAGCCACTCCTCTCATTGTGAATTGATTTTGGGCAAGAACCTCAACTTTCATATTCGCTGGTTGACCTACATATGAAACCCAACTGTATGATTATTATACGTACTTCATGAGATTCAATTAGATTGTCCATAAAAAAATTTATCATACATGACGGAGCATGTAAAGATGTGAAAAATCATTTCACCTCCAAGTGTTAAGAAACCTTTGCAAGGACTTTTATGTTAGGTCATTCACTCATTGTAGCTTTGGGGTTAAACTTTAACTTCCTTCAAAATTGACCCGTTTGATACCTTAACACCACCTAATTAGTTTTTCTAGTACATCGTCGCATTGACACATGTTATTACTAATTCACATTTTGTTAAGTCTACTTTGTAATGTATTTCATTTATCTTTTAAGTATTCGCTCAAATATCATATCTACCAAACAATACCTAAATTCGAAACCATATGACCGTTGAATTAAGTGAAAGTCATTTTAGTGTTCCATTGTGGAACGTGTTTATTAATTTTCTTCACTGCAAATGAATATTTTCAATGCAAATGAATGTCTTATTGGAACCGTGTTCGTCAATTAAATGATAATCTTTTTTGCCGCTACGTGGCACAAGGACAAACCATTAACTGTGACTTTAATTAGTAGGCGGCTATACCCGCATTGGCAGCATCTCTTGACCGAATGAAAAAAAAAAAGGATAAAAAGGCATGGATGGGTTGGAGAGGGAGACTCCAACGACTGTAAGTCTTAGACTTGAACTTCAGTTATCCATTGGAGCTCTTGCAATGTTTCTTCTCAAGGTACTCCCTCCGTCCCTCCGTCCCTCCCTTGATCTCTTGTTCTTTCTCTGGACTTCATAAGCCTATAATTGTATTTATCTGTATTTTACAGGCATGGAGACAAACAGCTTTTGGAGTTTATGGGTACCTGAATTTCACCAAGTCTGGTTTCATGTAATCTTCCAATCCCTGTAATTTTCAACTGGGATCATAAATCATAATGTTGCAAGTAAATGCTGTGTTTATGTATTCAGAAAGATATACTCTTGAACTGATAGGAAGCAAAGCATATGACTTTTCCCATGGTGGATGCTTAATTTCTTTCATCTCTTCTTTTCATGATATAAATTGGGGTTTTGGAAATTTGTTGATGAACTTAATCATCCCAACAATGGCTTTTTTAAGTCCATAAATTTGTATTTCTTTTATTTTCTAGAAATCTTAAGGAACCGGATCGACAATGTGAGGTTCAAATACTCTGTGTATCTGTATGCTAGAACGATGCGTTTGTTAAATCCGTTATCTGTCTTATTCTTCCTTCCAAAATGTTGCCGTTGAGTTCACAAGAATAAAGTTTATGGAAGAAGTCTTGTTGCGCTTTTTTACTTGTTTTAATTGATGTAAAATCATTGCAGAGAACATTCAAAGACATTCAAGTCCGAGGATACGCAAGCTCGGATAGAAGGGAAAAATTGCATTGTAACAGGAGCTAATTCAGGCATTGGTTATGCAACTGCCGAGGGACTTGCATCACGGTGCTTTTCTTGCTTTATTTGTGGGCTAGTTGTTATTTGAGACTTAACTTCGGTTGCTAGAAACATAGTTGCTATTGTTTATTTATTTTTTTAATGTATTTTTGTTTATTGTCTTATGATTTTCCAGTGGCGCAACTGTCTATATGGTTTGTCGGAATAAGGAGAGGGGTGAAACTGCACAGTCTAAAATCCAAACTGACACAGGAAACCAAAATGTTCATTTGGAGGTATATGGCATCCTTTTTTTAATTTAATTTTATTGTTTTACTTATTTACATGGGTTCTTTTCACGTATTTTAGTGGTCAATGACCCAATGTTATATCCCAGGCGGTTATTGTTATACGTTATCAAATTATATACTAGTTCACTAAGTAATGATCTTTGTGATCTTTATGAATGTCTTGTTTTGATTGTAAATGTTTTAATATGGTTTTAATTTGCAGGTCTGTGATCTATCATCTGTTAGTGATATCAAGTCATTTGCGTCCAAGTTTTCCACAAAGAACGTGCCAGTTCACGTATTGGTAAATATCCATTCTGAAATTCTAGGAACCTAATATTGCAGTTAAATGTGCTGGGATCTTGTTAATTTTAAACCAGTATATATAGTATATATAATATATATTGTTGATGCACAAAACCGGAGGGGTCTTGGAACAACGTAAATCCGACCGTGAATCTGCAAGAAAGTAAAGAACACAAGATGTATCGTGGTTCACCCCAAGGTTTGGGCTACGTCCACAGATGTTGATATTGTTTCACTCTGAATGGTGAATATACAAGAAGGCTAGAGGCAGTGTGCTCTCTAACCTATTTTCTGTGTTTGCCCTCTGAGATGTTTTCTCTCTTCCGATAGCCTAAACCTTGACCTCTCTAATGAGGAGAGTGAGGAGTCCTTTTATAGAATAAGGGCTCCTCACTTATTACATATTTGCCAATTCATTTATTACATAATTACATTTGAGTCCCCCGAGTATTTATACGAGATCTAAATACGGAGGCCCTAAGTATGGTATAAACAGTAGTCCACCAAGTCTTCAGTTAAGAAAGTCTTTTGGCTGGAGACTTGAAATTCAGTCCATGTGTGGGCCGAAGTAACTAGATGTCGACTAGAACTGAATACTTGATATGAGGTGGTGATCAATGTGAAATGATGCTCAACTAGAACTATCACATGTTGCGAGGCTGCTCGGCTTGTGGCTTATGTTGCCTTGGTTGGCTCGGCTTGTGATGTTGAAGGTGAGGGAGTCCCTTTTATAGAATAAGGGCTCGCTCCTCAATACATAAATGATGGCCTAGAGTTGATGCTTGCGGCGAGACGGTTGCTCAGCTGCCGGCGATGCTCTCTAATGAAGGTGAGGGAGTCCCTTTTATAGAATAAGGGCTCGCTCCTCAATACATGAATGATGGGTTAAGAGTGATACTCGCGGCGAGTCGGTTGCTCAGTAGGCGGCGATGCTCTCTAATGATGGTGAGGGGGTCCCTTTTATAGAATAAGGGCTCGCTCCTCAATACCTAAGTGATGGGTGCTCTCTAATGAAAGTGAGGGAGTCCCTTTTATAGAATAAGGGATCGCTCCTCAATACATAAGTGATGGGCTAAGTCCCCCAAGTATTTTTCATGAAGCCCAGTTGCGGAAGCCAAATATATGGTACATAGTGTAGTCCCCCAAGTCTTCAGTCAATAGAGGTTGTTGGCTGGAGACTTCAAATTCAATCCATGTATGGGCCGAAGTGGCGGTTGTTCGGAGGCGGTCTTTGTATACCATGCACTGAAGCTTTGTAGGTGAAGCTTTGAAAGTGAAGTTTTGAAACTGGAGCTTTTGTAAATGAAGCTTTGAAGCTGGAGCTTTTGTAAATGAAGCTTTGAAGCTGAAGCTTTGTAAATGAAGCTTTCGAAGCTGATTGACATGAGTTATGCTCATGAATGTTTATGTTGATTGACATGAGTGATGCTCATGGATGTTGACATGAGTGATGATTATGAATGTTGACATGAGTGATGCTCATGAATGTTTATGCATGATTGACATGAGTGATGCTTATGAATGTTGACATGAGTGATGCTCATAAATGTTGACATGAGTGATGTTCATGAATGTTTATGTATGATTGGCATGAGTGATGCTCATGAATGTTTATGCATGATTGACATGAGTGATGCTCATGTATAATTTTGGAGTACTGGACGTACTTTTGATCACCTGGTTGGTCATAATAGCGGCAGATTGCCGAATAATTTTGGAGTACTGGACGTACTTTTGATCACCTAGTTGGTGATAATAGCGGCAGACTGCCGAATAATTTTTGAGTACTGGACGTACTTTTGATCACCTGGTTGGTGATAATAGAGGGTGAACTTTAAGTGGAGGGATAGAGGTTGGAGTTTGAATTGCTTTCGGTGCACCTGGCACCATCATTACTTCCTCTTTTCTTTTTTATTCCACTCTTCCTCTTTTCCTTTTTTTTTTATTTATTTATTTTCTTTCTTGCTTTTTTTTTATTTTTATTTATTTTTTGTAATTGCTTTCGGTGCACCTGGCACCATCATTACTTCCTCTTTTCTTTTTTATTCCACTATATTTCCTGCAACTTTCAGAGCGTCAAGGTTGGCAGAGCCCATCTGTACAATTGAAGGGAATTTGAGCTTTTGCTTTTGCTTTTACTTTCTCTTTTCCACCGCACCTCTCTCTGTCTCTCCACCTCCAGACATATCACCTGCAGACTTGCTTTTGCTTTTTCTTTTTTCTGAACATGCATAAGCATCACTCATGTCAACATTTGGCGCTATCTGTGAGAATCGACACGAAAAGCTATGTCGGTTCTCTCTCAATTTTTCATACCTCCACCGTGGACCACGATACATCTTGTGTTCTTTACTTTCTTGCAGATTCACGGTCGGATTTACGTTGTTCCAAGACCCTTCGGTTTTGTGCATCAACATTTGGCGCTGTCTGTGAATCGACACGAAAAACTATGTTGGTTCTCTCTCAATTTTTCATACCTCCACCGTGAATCTGCAGAAACCCAACACCCACACACAGAGACACCCATTCAATCTATAGAGAGAAAGAGAAACTCAGGTGCATCTCTGTTGAATCAGCTGACCAATAGTCTCCAATTCCACAAGCAAATCACAGAGAGACAACACAACCAATTGGGCATTGACCTCCAACTGATCTCAGCCATCCATCAGATCTGAGACTCTGATCCCTTCCAAACAACTCAACATCTAGTTCTCCAGATTGCCCATTTATCGGTTTCTGTTACTCTCATTTTTGGGTTGTTTATGGACACTGGATAGCTTAAAGTTGGGTCGGAGGCAAAAAAGATGAGGGAAGGAGCGAGGTTTCAGCTAGGGACAATGGGAGCGTTGACCTTCTCTGTGGTCTCGTCGGTTTCCATTGTCATTTGCAACAAGGCCTTTATTAGTTCTTTGGGTTTCACTTTTGATCGAGCTCTCTCTATCGATCACGACAACAACGCAGGGAGTTTACATCAACAGAAGATCCAACGGTTTTGAGTGAGCAGAGAAAAACAGAGAGAAAGCGCTCGTTGAAGAACGATGGTGACGTCATCTTAGAAGAAAACGCTCCACTCGCTCGGCCGAACAGGGGACGTTGAAGCCTGGCGGTGAATTTGGTCTCCGACAACACCGCAACTAGAAGGCCATTCGTCAGACCTCTTCGTCGACGCTGAAAAACGACAGGAAGAACATCAGTATCCCGGAATCCATTAAAATCAAACGTATGGCAGTTTTTTCTGCCTTAAATCACTTCATTTGTGCTCTACCTGACCGTGCTTTTCGGGGCACCGAAACGCCAATCATCTCGTCGATGACCTTCAACGCCGTGAGCGGTCTGAAATGCTTGTTGCTATTAAGATTATGAATCGGCAAGAAACTCTTCCGGTGATTTATCATAGAAGATGACAGAGATGCCGTTGACGACTGGTGGTTCGGCGGAAGCATCCGAATCGAAGACCCACCGCCGCCGACTCCACTTTCACCTCCGTCTTCGTCTTTGTCCTCATCTTTGTCGTTCACACTCTCCTCCGAACTATCATCGTGGCTGTCTTCTCTATTGCTTCTGTGCATTAACCTTTCGCCTCTCCGCCTCTTGCTTCGGTGTTGATTACATGAAAGCTGAAAGAGATATTCTCACTAAGTTGTCGCTGTTAAGAAAAAAGAAAAAGCAAAAGCAAGTCTGCAGGTGATATGTCTGGAGGTGGAGAGACAGAGAGAGGTGCGGTGGAAAAGAGAAAGTAAAAGCAAAAGCAAAAGCTCAAATTCCCTTCAATTGTGCAGATGGGCTCTGCCAACCTTGACGCTTTGAAAGTTGCAGGAAATAGAGTGGAATCAAAAAGAAAAGAGGAAGTAATGATGGTGCCAGGTGCGACGAAAGCAATTACAAAAAAAAAAAAAAAAAAAAAAAAAGAGCAAGAAAGAAAAAAAAATAAATAAAAAAAAAAAAAAAAAAGGAAAAGAGGAAGAGTGGAATCAAAAAGAAAAGAGGAAGTAATGATGGTGCCAGGTGCACCGAAAGCAATTCAAACTCTAACCTCCATCCCTCCACTTAAAGTTCACCCTCTATTATCACCAACCAGGTGATCAAAAGTACATCTAGTACTCAAAAATTATTCGGCAGGCTGCCGCTATTATCACCAACCAGGTGATCAAAAGTACGTCCAGTACTCCAAATTATTCGGCAGCCTGCCGCTATTATCATCAATCAGGTGATCAAAAGTACGTTCAGTACTCCAAAATTATACATGAGCATCACTCATGTCAATCATGTATAAACATTTATGAGCATCACTCATGTCAATCATACATATACATTCATGAACATCACTCATGTCAACATTCATGAGCATCACTCATGTCAATCAACATAAACATTCATGAGCATCACTCATGTCAATCAGCTTCGAAAGCTTCATTAACAGAGCTCCAGCTTCAAAGCTTCATTTACAAAAGCTCCAGCTTCAAAACTTCACTTTCAAAGCTTCACCTACAAAGCTTCAGTGCATGGTATACAAAGACCGCCTCCGAACAACCGCCACTTCGGCCCATACATGGATTGAATTTGAAGTCTTCAGCCAACAGCCTCTATTGACTGAAGACTTGGGGGACTACATTATGTACCATATATTAGGGCTTCCGCAACTGGGCCTCATGAAAAATATTTGGGGGACTTAGCCCATTATTTATGTATTGAGGAGCGAACTCTTATTCTATAAAAAGGGTTCCTCACTTTCATTAGAGAGCATCCATCACTTATGTATTGAAGAGCGAGCCCTTATTTTATAAAAGGGACTCCCTCACCATCATTAGAGAGCATCATCACCTGCTGAGCAACCGTCTCGCCACGAGCATCACTCTTAGCCCATCACTTATGTATTGAGGAGCGAGCCCTTATTCTATAAAAGGGACTCCCTCACTTTCATTAGAGAGCACCCATCACTTATGCATTGAAGAACGAGCCCTTATTTTATAAAAGGGACTCCCTCACCATCATTAGAGAGCATCGCCGCCTGCTGAGCAACCGCCTCGCCACGAGCATCACTCTTAGCCCATCACTTATGTATTGAGGAGCGAGCCCTTATTCTATAAAAGGGACTCCCTCACCATCATTAGAGAGCATCGTCGTCAGCTGAGCAACCGCCTCGCCGCGAGCATCACTCTTAGCCCATCACTTATGTATTGAGGAGCGAGCCCTTATTCTATAAAAGGGACTCCCTCACCATCATTAGAGAGCATTGCCGCCTGCTGAGCAACCGCTTCGCCGCGAGCATCACTCCTAACCCATCACTTATGTATTGAGGAGCGAACCCTTATTCTATAAAAGGGGCTCCCTCACCATCATTAAAGAGCATCGCCGCCTGCTGAGCAACCGCCTCGCTGCGAGCATCAACTCTAGCCCATCGTTTATGTATTGACGAGCGAGCCCTTACTCTATAAAAGGGACTCCCTCACCTTCAACGCCACAAGCCGAGCCAACCAAGGCAACATAAGCCACAAACCGAGCAGCCTCGCAACATATGCTACTTCTAGTTGAGCATCATTTCACAGTGAACACCGCCTCATATCGAGTATCAGTTCTAGACGACATCTAGTTACTTCGGCCCACACATGGACTGAATTTCAAGTCTCCAGCCAAAAGACTCTCTTGACTGAAGACTTGGGGGACTATTGTTAGTACCATATTATATTGGGCCTCGTTACTTGGGCTTCCAGACATTGAGCCCATGATCTATGTAAAAGGGGAAGAGCCCTTAGTCTATAAAAGGGACTCCTCACCCTCACAATCCGGGGGCTTCACATCCCCAAACAGAGGCTTTCACATTCAGAGCAAAGGTCTCTCAAACTCTCTCTTTCTCTGGGGGACTCCCCCTCACACTTGTAATCCATACATACAGTTACAGAGAAATACAATCAACATCAGTGTGGACGTAGCCCAAACATTGGGGTGAACCACGATTCATCTTGTGTTCTTTACTTTCTTGCAGATTCACGGTCGGATTTAAGTTGTTCCAAGACCCTCCGGTTTTGTGCATCAACATATATATATATATATATATATAAATATATTATTTTGTTATCCTCTGTTGAAGTTCTTGTCTGATTTCTGGCATTGTGAATTAATTTAAAACGAATCAAATTTGTATGCAATTTGGTGGCTTTCTTGTCATGTCGCTGTCTGTTTGATTTTGAGAAATCTCCTGCTGCCCTTAGGTGAACAATGCTGGTTTGCTTGAGCATAATAGAGTTACCACATCAGAGGGGTGTGTTCTCGATTACCTCTATACACAGTTTTGTTTAGATATTCTATCCTTTTTCTCTATATAAAATTTTAAGTCTTTTTCTTTCAAATGCCAGGTTTGAGTTGAACTTTGCTGTGAATGTATTAGGCACCTATGCCATGACGGAATTGATGTTGCCATTGCTGGAGAAAGCTACACCTGATGCCCGGGTTATTACTGTTTCCTCTGGTGGAATGTACACTACACCATTGACCAAGGATTTACAGGTAATTGCTTCTATGAAATTCTGTTCGTAACGTTACACTCGATTTGTCCAATGCTCATCAAGTTCCAAAATATATGTCTAATGCAGTTTAGTGATGGGAACTTTAATGGCGTGGAACAATATGGTCGAAACAAGAGAGTTCAGGTTTGATCCCTTTAAGAGATAATATATTTGCATTATTTTAGTGATTTTTTATCCTCTTTATGATATGTTTCAGAAGATGCCAAAAAGGATGATCTGAATACTGTGATTCGATTATTTCTACTGAATTTAAGCGGAGGAAAACTAATGCATTCAACTGAGCAAGTTCTTAAAACTTCTATTTGCACAAAAATTTCTGATACATATGCCACATAACATGAATCAGAATGCAGTGTACTCTGAACCTTAGCCTTGAGTTCTCTTCCAACATATTAGACGGAGTTATTATAACAAATGGTAGTTCTTGGTTTTGGTAGCAATGATTTCGTTTGAATTTGGTAGTTACGTCTTAAATTGAGGAAATTTACTGACATTCCTTCTGGTTTCTCCTAAGAAGTTTCAGTGCTAGTAATTTGGTAGATTCACAGTTGACACTATCATGGAATGTTGTTAACACTAAGAAATACCAGATGATAGTATTGATTATGTTTGTATATAATCTACAATTACGAAGTACTTTTACTCAGAAAATGATAAAAGTAAGGGAAAGGAAACAACTGCCTTTCTTTTTTTTATCCCCGGGATATGATATTTGGGCTTAGGGGTACACTACTAGGTTCCCAGATAAGTATAAGTGCTTAATTAACAGAAGTTTATGTGTGGATGTGAGCTGTTGGTCAGTTCGAGTAAGAACTTTTTCAGCTATTTCTGGAGCTAACATTGTTCTTATTCAGGTGGCGTTAACAGAGAAATGGGCTGATATAAACAAAAACAAGGGGATTGGATTCTACTCAATGCACCCAGGTTGGGCTGAGACACCGGGGGTTGCCAAGAGTTTGCCAAGTTTCTCTAAAGCGTACGAAATCTTTAACATTTTCCATCTCTTATTTGTATCTGCGATCTATTTTCTTCTGCTTTATATCTAATCTTCCATTTTTCTTCTAAATTTGTTTTAGGCTATCGGGAAAGCTTAGAACGAACGAGCAAGGTGCAGACACCGTAATTTGGTTGGCTTTACAGCCTAAAGAAAAACTTGTATCGGGAGCATTTTATTTCGATAGAGCAGAAGCACCTAAACACCTTTTGTTTGCAGCAACAAGCCGGTCTCATACTGAAATCGACTCCATTTATGACACTCTAAGTAGCTTATCTAGGACCTCCGCATAAGGTTAATTCGAAAAACACATACTGTGAAGTCTTGCTGCAAACTTTCATTGGGTAAATTTATTAACCAGGGGATGGAAAGGATCAGACTTTGCCTTTCATATGGGGCTTTATACAGGCAATAAAATACGTTTTAGTGTCCCTTTAGTGCCCCGTTATTGTTTGTTTAGTGAAAAACTGTATTTTTATTGAAGATTTGTAAAAGGTTGTATTTATGTATATTTCTGATTTTTGTTTATGTAGAACTGCAGAATTTATTTTCTGAATTCTGATTAAATATACTGAATATATGATTGTAGTCCTTGAAATTCAATTTTCTCTCAATAAAATTCAACATAATTTTTTTTTTTCTGACTAAATATATTGGTGGCGTGTTTATGAACTTGTAATCGGAATTAAAATACTGAATTGGATTCTGACCTTCGTTTACTAAACTTGAGTGAATAAAAAGAAAGGTGGGACCCACACAAAATATGGATTTCAAATTTTCATTTTGAATGAATTTGACTCCTTAATTGGAGGTGGTAATTCAATTTCGAAGATATAGAAGAATCAGAATTAATTGTTCTTATCCGTTATGCCCTTAGATATTTACTATAATTTCACTTTTGCCGGCCACCACCATCCACTGCTAGCAAAAGGACCTGTGTTGTGTTTCTTGAATTTCATGTTTCTTTAATAATCATAGGGTTAGCCAATATAAATCTACAGGTTCGTACTCCGGGGTTTGAACTTTGTTTGATGTTGATCTGGGCTCTACGGAAGCATAGAAATGATGTACTATGGAACGGCTCTTTGTTACCACCGCACGAGATTGTGCTTAGAACCGAGGGTTGGATGCAGGAATATCACAAATGGCACAAGCCAGCAGCAAAGCGGTCTATTCGAAAGGTTCAGAAGTGGCGGAAACCTGAGGAGGGTTGGATCAAGTGTAACTTTGACGGGGCCTGGAGTCAAAGCGGGCTCCGGGGAGGTTTTGGGGTTGTGATTCGTAACCACTTGGGGGAGTTTATTACCGCTGTTGTTGGCTAAGAGTCAATGTCCGGCGGAGGTGAAGGTTAACTTTGAAGGAGATGCTAGTTTTGTGTTGGCCGCCATGAAGGGGCAAGGGGATGACTGCTTAGCTTTTGGTCCCATAAGACCATCTCCAACCCTTGGGCTAAAAGCCAAATTTTTTAGCCCGAAAAATTTAGCTTTTAGCCCAGAAACATCTTTTCTGCTCCAACCCTTCTACCCTAAAATTTTAGCTCGGAATTATTAAAGAATGAAATTAGCCTAAATTTTTTTCTTAAATCAATTTAAAAAAAAAATATATGTAGATTATTGTAAATTAATTTTATGAACATTTTAATCTAAAAAAATTTAAATTCCGATAAACATTTCGCATTTAGCCCAGGGGGAAAGCTGGAGGTATTTGGCCCAGAAATAGCATTTGGCATTTAGCCTAAAATTTTAGCATGGGTTGAAGAGTGTTTGGGGGGTAATTTGGCTTTTAGCCCAGGATTGGAGATGGTCTAATAAATTATTTGAGGTGTTTCCTTGTGGGTTGGGCGACTTTGTCGATCAGTCATATATCCAGCGGGAAGGTAACTTGGCAGCGCATCGACTTGCTTGTATAGGGATTAGTAGTGCTCATGAAGTATTGTGATTCGAGGAGCTTCCAGATTTGATCCAAGATATTCCCATTGGGGAGGGATTGTAATTTCCATTTCTATTGTTCATTTGAGGATAGGTCTATTGATGTGCGGGATGCTCTTTTCCTTCAATCGGGTTGAAATTCCCGGCAAGATTTTTATTGAGGCTCATTATGCACACTATTCTTAGTTTGTACGTATTCTAAGTTGTTTAATGAATATCGTAACTTTGCTTCAAAATAATAATAATAATAATAATCATAGGGATTAAGAAAACAACAAATAATTAATGCTTATAGGGTAATTACTATTAAGGTTTTATTATGTTCCAAATAATATTACTAACGACATTAATTTGAAGTTATCCAATTATTTGGCATATAAATATGTTATTTAGAATAAGAGTATTTTAGTAATCATATTTATTTCTATTCTGATTCAGGTGAATTATTAAACAACTTATATGGACTCAATTTTATTCTTAAGTAAACAATTTTAATAAGAATATAATTCTGACTCCTTATTTCAACTTCTCCTGAATTAAATTTTTCTTATTTTAATTATGGATACGTAATTTGTTTAATTTCTTGTGGGGTTTTGTATCTCAATAATTGTACAGAGCATTAGTCACCCCATGCTAATAAAGACTTTTTAGTGCTATCACACCAAACCTTCCCCACCCTGAGTTGAGTTCCCATCAAAAGGCGACAAGTAATAAGTATCAACGCTTGAAAAGACATCCAAAAAAGTTAAAGCAACCAAATGTAATTATGTAATCTTCAAAGCAATAATAGATTAGATCTAAAAGGCCTTTCAGAGTAGTTTGAGTGAGCATAATAACTGTATATAGGAATCGGTAACTTGAGTTTAATATGCATAACACTACTGCTACACTAATGTTAGTTCAATATGTTGATACCACGTTCATGAGTACATATGAGTTCTATATATTAGTATCACAGTCAAATTTATAGCTCATGAGTGATTCCTATATGAGTTCAATATATTAGTATCACATTCTTTCTTTTTTTTGGCCTACTATGAAAGACTAGTTCTACTTTAAACTACACTAAAAAGAGAGAATTTGAACTCGTAGCGTATTATGTTGAGCTTTGAGGGCCGGAGTAGTGTAGCCACGCACCAAATTTCGAACCCGACGTTTTGCAATGTTTCAATTATTAACATGTACATCAAAGAAAGGAAAACAATCAGACTGAACAGTGCATGACAACAACACTGCAGAAAAACAAGCAAGTACGAAACCACTACTTTCCGAAGATGGCTAAGTTTTAGTGAATGCCATCTTCATAAGAACATATGTTTAGTTAGTTTCCACTCAGTTCGAAAAGGGTTGAGAATCGACGACAGAATGAGTTGGCATAGAACACCCCGTTACCATACACAATACAGCTCATAAGGGCACTCAAACAACTCTTAGTCAACAAGTACTTGTACAAGAACTTAACAAACGAAGAAGAAACTGTCAGTCGTCAATGCCATTTACAACTACATTTCGTATTTATTTCTCACACACCTTTTCTTTTCTGTTTTTGGTACAAAACTCTCACACGTCTTTATTTGTATAACTATTTCACATTTACGACAATATTTATGAAGTAACATCACAAGCACAAAGGAGATGGTCTTCAGCATACTATAAAATCCTTGTTGGTTGTGTAATTACAGGGAGTCACCTGAAGAACCCAACAATGCCGGCTTTCTCAACCAGTACTGCTGAAACCTCTGCCTCGCATACTCCGTGTAGTCAAAATCAATTTTGTTCACATGACCCTGGAAACCAGCAGAACATGTAAATATGTTATAAACACAAAGAGGCAGTCAACTCACACAAACACGCACAAGCTATTGCGAATAACAGTGTAAGGAAAAGTACAAATGATTTACCGAAATTATTCCCCATAAGCCCCAAAAGAGATGGTTGGCCAAAGTGTACTTCTCTGCTATTTCAACTAGCTGCTCCACCTCAGCATCACTGGGTTCGCAACCTGTAAGGAATATTGGAGACGAAGCGTGTTGAGGATCACCAACGCTTTCAAATTAAACATGAGCAAACTTTGCTCAATTATTTTTCGGTCAATAATGCTAAACGTCAAACATGAATAATCTGAGCACTAACATGCATACAAACCAATAACCATGCCCAGATCTTGCAGAAATCTTCCTTACACAAACCTTGAAAACCAACGAGCATTGTTCGTTTAAACAGTTAAATGTAGGAACAACCAATATCCGTTTACCCAGATACATGCATATCACAAAATCAACAGAGGGATCAGAAAATGAATATGCTAACCTGCAGAGCTCAGATATGCACGGACAAATCTCTGGCGCTCCTCCAGACCTGATTCAACAGAATCGAGAAAACCAAAATATTTAATTTTGTAATGAATTAAAAATACCAAATAATTATTTCCATGTTTTCAACTTGATTGAATTCTCAAGGTTAAAGCAGGAGAAAATGCAATGAAGGACAAATCACAAACAGATTAACAGTTACCTGGATAATTCCTGTAGTCCAAAACGTGAGGTGTCTCAGAGTGGTAGTTTGCTACCATTTCACAGAAATGATTTGCAAGGTCATAAGCGACAGGATTGTAACTGGCATATTCATAATCCTGGAAACATAACAAAATCATATCATTAATCATAATATATCATCGCAACACAGGTTTATAACATTGCTTTACATACATTTTTTAGCAAGAACATAACAGGGAATCCAACTACTGATAACTTGATCATGCTCGGTGAATATAATATGAATGTGATGCTAGACAATTCGCATTAAGTTTTACATGCAAGCAAGGAATGCCAAGAAAGTTTATTCTCAGAGATTGCTTCATGAGTTACATTCAGAATAACTACTACTTAGAACTCTCTGTCATTTACTTAGTCAGCATCCCAAATCCATGTACCCCTGATTCCTCAAACAGGCTAAAGCTAGTAAGAACGCATTTTCTTGATTACATCGACAACATGATTCAAATCGAAAAATGATGGATTTATTGTTAAAATAGACTCGGACTATGTTTTCTACTACTCAACAAGTTGACACCATTAACTAAGAAAATGTTTTCTACTACTCAAGAAGTTGACACCGTTAAGTTAGTAAGAAAAACTAATCTACTGTCCATGTCAAAACGATTAAATTCAGGTTGTAGAAACTGAAGTGTTCGACTTCAGTAACAATCCTAGGTCACAAGTGGAATCGCGTGGAAGGAAAGAAAAGTAGTAAAGAAAGTGCAATATTTTTAAAACCAGCGAGACAGTTAATGACAATGAAACGGTTTCGTTGAAACCAAGTAAAGAACTCACAATTAAAGTGATTAATCTGGTCTCTTCATCCATCATTATGTTACCGTACTGCAGGTCATTGTGACAGAACCCAATTTCTTGATAGTCCTGTGACAGTTCTTTCTCTAACATACTAATTTCCTCTTCCAAAGTATCCAAGCCGAATTCCTGTATGTCTTTGATCGAACACAAGTTTTTTGCCTCATTGAGCCAGTTCCTGGGGAAAATACGTAAACTGCATAAAAATTCACGAATACTCAAAAGGGAAGCTTTAGCTTTTCAAAATATAAAATTACCTCATTCTATCCCAAAGGACTACATTTCTCGGACCAGTCATATCCAAATTGTGGAACTCTCTCAGCTTAGCTGCTATAATAGCAGATATTTCGGGATCACGGAGGTCAGCAGCTGATAGCGTCTGAGAATTGAAAAACACAATAGCTTATGGATATGATAAAAAATCTTCTGCAACAGGTTATATGAAGAGATTACACTGAACCTCAAACATGCCTTTGTACAATTTTGGTATGATAGAGGATCAAATCCCGAAGCAAATCAGTCCGTCCTTTTTGATGTTAGATCATTTAAGTCCAATTTAAATTAGATGATACATAAGTTGTCCAGCTGAAACAATCGTAATTGCAAGGTAGAACCGGAGAAAATCTATTACATCTTTATCACCTATCTTGATCCTAAAGATTGATTGCCTCACATGTTCTTTTAATTTTTTTCGCTTAACTATAAGATTCTGCAAATAGGCTGTTCAATTTTATCCAAATAGTTCGGTAAATATAACACTCAAAACTTATGCCTACGTGTCAGGGTTTCAATAGTCTATGATTTCTGGTGTAACGAGTTTAGGCTTTTCCAGTCGTATCACAATCTTATCAAAAACTGACTAATCGAAAATGACATGAAGTGATTAACGGCTTCTTCCCTTCACAACAATATAAGACATCAGATACCCTTATCATACACAAAAAGCTAAAGTAAGCTAAAGTACCACTTTAAAAGATTGATCAAGATTACAGTGACATACGGCCAGACCCTGTATGCTCTTTGCACTAGTCAATTCAGTCCTAAAGTGCAGATTGGACCTTATTCTTCTTTTTATTGTTTACAACCACAATATAAAGTCATCATGCCACTAACTTTGAAACATTAAACTAAGGAAAAGTAGTGACAATTATAGAGGATTTAGTGAAAGTATTCCAAAGACATCATTAGTTAAAGACTTGGTTAAAGTAACTCGTACTTAAAAAAAAAGAGAAGATAATATGAACTGGTAAACATAGCAAACATACTCTAGCATGAATGAACTCCTCAACCCGTCCCTCTGCAAATCGCCCAAGAAGACGCGGCCCCTGGCCGTGCTTGGACATGCACTCGAACGTCTGAATTTCATTCTCCCGATTAAAAAACACTTCAACTCCCTCACCGTAAACCCGAACCAGAACTTTCCGGAAAAGGTCACCATTGTTCCTCGTAGGCCAACTTATTTGATAGACCTCATTAGTCATTGCCCCTTTCAATGGGGTGACCTGCAAGGCATTCAAATCATCCACTACATCCCCCCATTCAGAAGCTACAGATAAAAGTACCTTCTTTAATTCCTCTGGAAGACAACCTTTAACTAGACCGAGTGTCTTGATGGCCATTTTTTATCAATTATCAATTCAAACAGAGGTTCACCTGCATATCAAAGTGTTCCATTAGCTTCTCTCTAATCGAATTCTGGCACCCTAATCCTATTTTGTTCCTGAAATCTAATCAAGGTGCTTAATTGGGTTCAAACAACAGCTTAATTGCTATAATCTAATCATATCGAGATCTCGACGATTTCAGAAGATTAGTCATCACAGCTGATGGAATTAAAAAACTGCTCAGCAAGAAACAAAGAAACATACCCACATGAAACGAACAGTAAAATTCAAGGAGAAAAAAAGCTCAAATCTTTGATAGAAATATCTAACTGAAATGCCCTATTAACTTCAGCACTTGGAAGATAACACAACCCAAAATGATTAAAAGAACAAAAAACATATGAAATATACAGAACCCAAATGAAAGATAAACAAAAAAGCATTAAGAGATTGAGAAACAGAAGAAGTCACCTAAGGAAGAAGAGTTCAAGAAAGATGCAGGTTAATTTGATATGCCAAACTGCAGATCCTTTTTATATCAATGTGTAAACAATCACTAAAAAGTCAAAACGTAAATACATAAAATACTTGAAATAATGAACAGAGTCTCCCTTGGCCCAAAAGAGGGGAATCAAATCAATAAAAGAACAAAACCCAGAATCCTTTTAAGCCTATTATATATGAGGGTGGGATTGTGGGATCAGAGAAAATAATATTTTTTTAGAAAAAAAGTCCAAAAACTGACTTTTCTCTTCGTTTCTGTGGCAAAAGCAAAAGCAGAGTACCAAAATACAAAGGGTTTTTCGGGTCTGTAATATTGACTGAATCTTGCTACAGATTCTGAGCCGGAATTAATACCCAACTCGGATTGACCAGATTCTAAATTCTGAATACGCGTAGACGGTGAATGCTTTTGTTTGTTTTTATCTTTTTCTTTGTGTGTTGGTTCCGTTCTTCTTGTTTACTGGGTCAAAGGAGTGAATGTCAAAGAAAACGAAGTCACAGACTTTTGATTTATGCACGTACGAATTATTACGCACGGAACAACGAGGAAATGTGGTGCCTGCGGGGCCCAGTTATGGAAAATAGCTCGCCAAATGAGGACTTCTCTTTCGCTAGAGACTAGAACCTCGTTTGGCAGCTCGGACTGTACTGACTATTTCAGTCGGATAGGATAAATAGCCACCGGATAGTACTGACTAAATTAGTCGGGCGTTTGGTGCAGTATCGGACTAACGATCGTATTATTTATACTGTGTTTGGTACTATACCGAATAAGAAGAATTCAAAGTATTATTACTCTTCAGTCTTCCCCAGATCTCTCCGCCGCACTGTCCCCTAGCAGCCTCAGTCTCTATCTCCTTACAATTGTTGGCCTAAAGAGGCATTGAAATGCATCGTCAAGCAGATCTTCCCCCTCTGTACATTTGAAACTAATCCAAAAAATACCCCGAAACTAAGGAAATTAAATCACAATCAGAAAACAAAAAAAGGGGAAACATGCAAAATCGTAAAACCCAGATGAAATCTTTTCGAATTTTCGAATCCTATCATCGATTCCAAGTCAAGGTTCTAAAACCCAAATGAAATCTTTCTGAATTTGTGAGGTGGTGGTGCGATTGGTCTCTCTGTGGGCGTCTGAATTAAACAAAAAAAATGGCAACGGGGAGAACAGAGTTGGGGAGATCAGCGTCGGCTGAGGAGGACGGAGCCAATGAGAGGAGACCGGGAGAACAAAGCTGGCCAGGGGAGACGGCAAGAACATAGCCAGCCAAAGGAGACGGGGAGAATGTAGTCGGTGAGAGAATGAGACGGCGATGGAAGCGAGAGAGAAAGCCCAGTTCGCGCGAGAGAGAAAGGACCCGACTAAATTATACACTCCTTTTGGACGGGTTTATTAAGAGGGCATACACCGTATAAAATAAGAGCATCGGATTAAATTAGTCCGGTCCAATTTAATACGAGAGCGCGTCAAACACCCGACTCCGTATTAATAATCCTATCCGATGCTATATACGACGTACCAAACGAGGCCGAGTTTCTGTTTTTTATCCTCCTCTTCTTTCCGCTGAAAAGGGCATCCATGTAATTTAGTAGATTTTGATTTCGAATATTTTCATATCTTAGAAAGAGAATAGAATTGAATATTGACTTTAGTATGCACACTTTTTTTTTTCTTTTGACGGATTTGAAAATTTTAATAAGATTTTATCCAAGGCCTATCTAAAACACTGTATTATTTCCGTATGAAACGTGAATAACGTACGTCTTTAATTATATATAGACTTAATTATATATAGAGTACATTTATCATATTTTTGATAGGATCAGAACTACAAGCACATGTGAATTCTATCTTTATTCATGAGACAATACAAATGTAATATAAAAAATATAATAAAGTAGTCATTTCTTATATATATATATCTTATTCCATACTATATTATATGACAGATATTTAAGAGCCGTTTGGCATCCCACTAGTATTTTCTTTTCATTTTTAAAAATATTTTCTAAACCAACTTCTTTAAGAACAGTTTCTTATAAGACCCAAAAACTTGTTTTGTATGAAATTTAAAATTATTTAAATCTTAGCTAACTTTCCTACTCTTTTGGTGTAGATTTATCATTTGTTCAAAAAAAATCTTAACAACTAAAGAAATAAGAGACGGAGAGAAAGGACCGAAAGAAAGGGAGAGAGAAGAGAACAGAGAGATATGAGAGAGAAAGCTGAGGCCTGAGGAAAGGATCAGAAAAGAGTGAGGAGGGAGAAAATTCAGAACATATAGAACTAGAGAGGAGAGCCTAGGAAAGGATCGGAACAAAGAGGACAAAAAAGAAGAGAAGAGGGAGAGAGAAAAATAAGAAGAGATAGGACGCGAGAGGGACGAGTTAAAAATAGGAAGAGATTAGATAGAAATAGACGAGGAGGGAGATTAGTTTAAAACTGACTTTTGTGTTTTTAAAAAATAAGTTAATTTTTTAAGTTGGTTTTGATTTCACTTTTTAAAATAGTCTTACTAAACAAGAATATTGACTTAAGATCCAAAAATTATTTTTGAGTTAAAAAATTGGGATGAATCAAAATCCTAAGTTTTTTAACAATGATGTGTTATCAATCAAATTTATATTTTAATTCAAGTTAAAATTTAATTTATCATTGTGATTAAAATTATTACAGTGTAAAATTGTCTAATCATATAATGAGTCACATCACTGTGCACGTCCTAGTGTATATGGACATTAGTCCTAGTGTATATAGACATTCTTTTAAAGTGAGACTCTTTATGGATTAATTTACATGCTAACATTATAAAATATTATGCCGAAAACATAATTTGACAAAGAGTTTATGAAGAGTCCTAATTTTGAGTAGGGATGACAATTCTAACTGTTAAACCCGATAACTATGGATAAGCGTCCGAATGGATTGGTATTGGGTATGAAAATTCAGGTATATTTTGGATATGAGGAAAAACTGTGAATCATATTCGGTTATGATTTTGGATATGGTTATAGAGATCCCCAATCCGTATCCGTCCTTGAATCCGAACCGAATTATATATAATATAATTGTGTTATAGATATATATATATATATATATATATATATATATATATATATATATTATTCACTAAATCTATTACCCTAAGAATAAAAAAGTTGCATTGTGTGAGTTGCATTTTGTGGACAATTTAGAAAGTTTTGATATGAATCAAAATCTATGAGAATCCAGACCAATAATACTTATGGGAGATATCAAAGATCAGCCCACATTATCAAAGTTTAGCCTTAATTTTTATGCTCCACAAGATCCATTCATTAAATTATTTTATACGTCAAATATTTAATGATGAAATTAATATTTACTAAATTATCAAGCGTCAATTGAACGAATATATTTTTTGAATTGACAAAGATAGGTATAACTGTTAACTGATGGAGAATCCGTCACCGGTGAGTATGGTTATATATAATACCCGATGGTTAATTGGCAGTTATGGATATGGTTAATTTTCGTCCCCAAAACGAACCGTTGCCATCCCTAATTTTGAGATAGTCTCCTTAGCATTTCTCATACAACATTATATTTAAGGGCCAAAATCTATTAAACAAGTTTAAATTTCTCTGGTGCAAGTGCAATAAGGTAATCATAGTGAGCAGTCATTGGTGGATACTACCAAGGCATACTGTTACATTATATGAAATTAATGCAGAACTTTCTCCGTAGTTATTACATGTATCATAAATGACACACCTCGACCAGAATCAAGGTGTGCTGACCATCATGTGAAGGTGACGTAACCGTAAGTGCACGTGATACAAGGAAATTGTGAATAAATTAAAACCGAAATTAGAACTTAATTAAACTAATTCAGTGAGTGCGCAGTAATGGTTACAACCCATAACTACAAATATTCAGAGCATAGATAAAGAAGTCGAACGAGAGAAGTACTCATTACACAACTAGAGATAAGTTCCTACGTTAAGATGAGGATATGTCAAAATCACCAGCTATTCCTCGTACGCCACATAGATAAATCAGCTAATTATGACCTGAAGGGGCGAAAAACAGAAGGGTGAATGAGCACAAAAATAAAGGTTTATAAAATCCATTTACTTTTCAATCATACTAACCCCTCGCTGTAAAACAAGCATAGTTTCTAGAAAATCATACTACGTAAAAGTATGAAAATCAAATGCATGCCAAATGAAATTCTAGAAGTATGCCACAACAGATATTCTCAACAACAATATAGATATGATAATGTGTTGTAATCTATACTAACATGTCAGTCGGAGTTACCTAATATGACCTGTACGATTGCACCAATCGCTCATCCGTCTATGCTAACACATCGAGTCAAAACTGCCTAATGCAGTCTGTACACAAGCTAGGTGTAATAATAACGCTCTAATGTTACGATCACGTGAAGCTTGCACTAAGCGCAGTCACCATCTAGCCGGAACCACCTATTGTGGTATGTACAACAAGCTAACACCTACTTGAATCCAAAGTGAGAGTGCGGTGCTGGGGGGTGAACATACACGTGAAAGCTAGCCTGGCCTTGGGTTGAGCACTCACTTGGGGTGTAGCAATGATGAGCAGACTATAGATATGCATGCCAATAAGTCTCAATTAGTCAATCAATCACACAGCCTTACCTGAACTTACCTGCGCGTCTCATGATCACCTTAGCATTTCAATACATATATCACAATAATATGCAGGTAAAATGCATATAAGTATGCCAGGATGATAATTAAATTTCTACTTTAGTAAATCATTTGTAAAAATATAAGTATCATGGCATAACATGCATAATTCATTTAAAATGATTATGGAAACTATAGTGTATATATGTAAATGTACGAAAACAAAATGCCTACTCACTGGTAAGTCGTAGGATTGTAACCTCCTAACCTTGCGTGCCCACGTATGTCCTTGGGGTAAGTCTCCCCTATATGTGGAATTACTAAATAAATTAGGTTAATAACACATATACAGAAACTTAAATAAAACCCCCATAGTTTGTTCAAACCTAGGGTTTAAATATACGAAAATAATCTACTCGACGCCATGGACCTACACAAATTTTCAGAAATATTTTTGGACATCGAACGTGCCCTCACATGTTTGCTAAGGCACGGCCAGACGCGCCACCATGCGTGGCCAGAACCCTGATGTCCGTCAGGAATATTCCGTTAACTTTAACTAACGGAACATTATGTCAGTTTAGGGAGTTGCGTGGATGCTTCCACGACCTTCAAAACTTGGTAACTCGACCGCAATCACGTTGACACAAAAACCACCGAGTCGGAGCTTCCGAGTCAATGGGTCAAAAAACTTATCAAA